ATGTGTGTCTCTTCTAAGCTGATGCATTATTGCTGGCGTGAGATTTTCTCAGCTCTTTCCCTGTTGCTGTGACTGAGATGTGTGTTTGAGGTGAAAAAATTTCAAGATTATGGGGATCTCTGTCAGTCAGGGTCCCTGAATGAATTCATGGAAGAGATCTCTGCCTCTGAACCTGTGAAAAACATAGAATGGCCAAGAAATAAACTTTTGCTGAGCCGCAGAATCTGGGGGTTGATTTTTACTGTAGCATAGCCTGTCTTACGGTCTCTCATACATACACCATGTGAGATTACTGTTCCTTTCCCTCTCTTCCTCCTTTCCATTCTGTCTCCCTCCCTTCTTCCCTTCCTTCCTTTATTTTTCTTCTTTTCTTTGTGGTTTTCTTTTAAATTGAAGAAAAGAAGTTTAAGCTTGCTGTTTGAAATTATCAAAAGTCTTGATAATTGGAAGAAGAAAACCTTGGGTATCAACCCACCCAATCCCCAGCCTCAGCCTCTGTTTTAGAGTTTCAGACGTGGACTCCCAGACAGGGACAGAATGTCAAAACGTTAATGCCACAACATTAATGAGCAGGTCTTGAATTTCATTCTCTTTCCACTCCACCATGTTGTAGGTAAGACAAAAAGTTACATGATATTTCTTTTTACTTTTTCTCTTTTTAAGAGCAGAAGAAATTATATTTATTTCTCTAGAAACAAAGACCCAATGGGGTAAGAAGAATTTTAAATTTTTAGCACAAGGAAAATATAACTCATGCATGGTGAGTGGGCACATGGATTTTTCTCTTCTTATATTTAAGATATTAGTGTTTCTTTACCTCACACTCAAGGGAGAATATGAGTCATTTCCATGAATCCAACATAACGTGTGAATTGCAAAAAGCTTTTCAATTTTTAAAGATCATTCTGTAGCCATTTAGTCACAATATTTTCCTGTCCAAAGCTTAAAGATTGAAGTGTTTTTTTCTTTTTCAAATTTAAATTTGTTTGTTTAATTCACATAAAAATTATTGACATTTGAAGTGTACAACATAATGTTTTAAAATATGCATACATTGTGGAACGGCTACATTGAGGTAATTAACATACATATTACTGCATATATCATTTTTTGTGGCAAGAACACTTAAAAGATACTCTCAGTGATTTTCAAGTTTGGATGTGTTGTTATTAACCATAGACACCATGTTGTACAATAATTCTCTTGAATTTATTCCTCTTATATAACTGAAATTTTGTAATCATTGGCCATTTCCCCAACCCACCACTCCCTATCCTCCGGTAACCACCATTGTGTTCTCTGATTCTACCCCTCTAGACACCCCCTCACAATTCAGATACGAGGGGATCCAGTTGTCAGAGCCTGGGTCCCATGCCAACAAACCTTGGGACCCGGGAGCAGAGGGAGAGGGACTGTCTGCCCCTCTTTGGCTCTGTAATGAGAGAGGCAGGTTAGTCTCCCACCTAGTTTGGGATTTCCCCATAGGAGGGATAGTTAAATGCTTGACAGCCACAAAAACAGTTATTCTGGGTAAGTTTATGAGTCTCGGGAGGGCAGTGTGTGTCACCTTTCTCTGATTGGTTTGTTCAGGGAAAAGCTGGCATTGGTTATAATTCCATGGCAACGTTAAGCAGCTTGCAAAGTTTCCATTTGCTTTAGTCAATCCACACAGTGACTGTGTTGCTTTTTTTCTTCACCATCAATTACCTGCATGAGGCATGGATGAACTTGGATTTCATTTCAACATCCAAATAGCATGCTAGGGAATGCTCCCGTTGCATGAAGCAATGATAAAATTCTGCTTTAGGGCACAGATGGGTCCACCTTACACTGCCCATCTCATGATAACACATATAACTTAGGATGTTTTCAATCACGATGGGTTTATTCAGATGTAACCCCACTGTAAGCCAAGGAGCATCTGTACATATTTAGAGAAGTAAAACATAAATGTTCAGTTAATGAACGTCAGAATGTGAACATTCGTGAGCCTCCCTTGGGCGCCACTTCTGCATTCTCCTTCCCCTTAGACATAAGCACTAATCGGGTGTTTATATACCCAATTATTGTCCCTTTATTTATTTTTCTTACCTAACCTTTCCCACTAGAATTTCTGGGACAATGTTAAATAGCACCTGTGATAGCAGGCATTTATGTCTTACTTGCAAGTTTGAAGAAAAAGACTTCAATGTTTATCATTAATCATGATGTCTGCTCTAAATTTGTTATATTTCATGACATTAAGGACGTTGTCTATTATTTCTGTTTTACTAAAGTTTTTATTAGCACGAATGGATGTTGAATTTGTCACTTTTTTTTGCATCTGTTAAAATTCTCATTTTTATTTACTGCTTTAATTTTTTATTATTTGTATTTTATTTTTTGTGTTTCTTTTATTTACTGTTTTAAAAGACCTTCACAGAAGTCACCCCAGGACTAATGTGGCTAGGAAACATTTTTGGTTTTTCTTTCAAGTTATCCTACCTTTAGTACCATATATCATGCAATATAAAGGTTGGAAGGAACCTTAGAGGTCATACACCATTATAATCTGTCACCCAGGTTCATGAATCATCTCTATTGTTGCTAAGGGGTTGGTTGTTCACCTGCATCTGTTTGAATATTTTCAGGGATGAAAAATGCACTATCCTTGTCCATTCTATTTTTGGAAATCTCTAGTTCCAGAAAGTCACTTACTGTGTGAGCTGAAATGTGCCTCAGTGTCAGATTCATGCTTTGGTCCAAGGTTTGCCATATGGAACGTGCAGGACAAGTGTCCCCTGAGGTATGGGTAGAGGCAGTGTGATTAGTGGGAAGCTGGTAGTCTTCAGAATTAAGCAGATTTGGGTTCACTTCCTGGTTTAGCCACTGACAAGCTGAGTGAGTCTGGGTACTCAGGAAGAGGCTTAGCAGCCATAATTCCTTCCATCCCAGTATGCTTCTCCTTTGCAATGTGACTTTGCAACTCCCAGAATCCAGAGGTAGATTCCATTTTCCTACCTCCTTGAATCTGGGCTGGCCTTTCAACTTGCTTTGCAACAGAATGTGGAGAAAGTCATACTGGAAAAGGTCTGAAGCTTAGGTCTCAGGGGGCCTTGCTGCTTGTGCGTGGTTTCTCTTGGGATGTCGCCCTGAGCCTGCCATATAAGGAAGTAATCTAGCCTATCAGATGTGAGAGGATGCTTGGAGGAGAACGGAGGTGTCCCAGCCAACAGCCTGCATGTATAATTCTGCTTGCTTTAACTTGAGCTACTTCAAAGTCTGCTCCTCCCCTCAACTTATACAGGTGTTTTCTTGGAACTTAAATGTAGGACTTAACATTTATTCCGGAGAAATTTATTTTGATTTTTGGAGATGGGGTCTCCCTTTGTCACCCATGTTGGAGTGCAATTTTGCAATCACAGTTCACTGTAGCTTCAAACTCCTGGTGCCAAGCAATCCTCCCACCTCAGCATCCCAAGTAGCTGGGACTACAGGCCCACGCCACCATGTCTGGTTAATTTGTTTTCTTTTCTTTCATTTCTTTCTTTTTCCTTCCTTCCTTCCTTCCTTCCTTCCTTCCTTCCTTCCTTCCTTTTTCTTTCTTTCTTTCCTTCCTTCCTTCTTTCTCTTTCCTTCCTTCCTTCCTTCTTTCCCCTTTCTTTCTTTTCTTTTCTTTTCTTTTCTTTTTTTTTATAGAAACGAGGTCTCACTATGTTGCCCAGGCTGGACTCGAACTCCTGGCTTCAAGCAATTCTCCCATGTCAGCTTCCCAAAATGCTGTGATACAGGCATTAGCCATGGTGCCCAGCCCAAAATTTCTTTTTGTTAGTCTTAGCCGAGCACTCCAGCCATGCCAAGGCAATCATGGTCTTCTAACCGTCATTTGTTTCTCCACTTAGTATATCTAGATCAGATGATTATGACTTCCATATTTTCTGCCAGTTCCTAAAAAACACTGTGAAATAGGACAGTGCTAGGGAAGGAACCTTAAGGGATGCTACTCTTCCATGCCTGTCACTGAGCTAGTCAATATTATTAATAGCTTTGTTATGCATGCATGCTATTTCCAAGCCTACAGGTTGCTTTCACACATATTAGCATGCTCATCCATGGTGAAATGTGCCCAGCAGAGATCTATATGGGCAGTAATATTCTTTCCTGAAATCAAGATATACCACGTCTAGTAATGCTCTCCTGAATAAATTATTTATTGAATATCGATATCATAATTTATTTCTTCTCTCTTTATTAGATCACAGTGAATATAAAACCATACCAATAGTTACGATTATACAAAAGAATCTTCTTAGATCAGTGGTCATGGGTAAGACAGTAAACCAAGGTATCTGCTTTCAGCACTTTTAAGAAGTCAGAGTGCAAAAATGACAGTTTTGTGCAAGAAAATTTTTCAACGAGTCCTGACAGCCAAAATATACCTGAAGTCGCTGCGAGACTTTACTTAGATTTTCGTAAGATCGTTTGTGTGTGAGCATGCTTGTGTTTTTCCCAGAGCAGGTGTAATAATGGATCTTTACTTACACCACCCCCCCAACATACACACACTGTTTCACCTTGGGAAGGAGACGGGAATGAAGAAAGGAGTGATGATGGGGTTCCCAAGCGTTCCCTTATCTTTCACCTAGCTCCCTACCTACTGTGGATGTTAGGTTTGGGCACACCCCTTTCTAGACAAGGAGACCGGTTCTCAAGGGAAGTGTGAGACTGAAGTTACAGAGCTGTCGAAAGCGGCGTCCGTATGGAGGGAGTGAAACGCCACGTGCTTCGTGCTGCAGCCGCTGGAGGACGGACCCGGGCCGACCTGGAGGGATGCTCAGCCCGGCAGGTCCGGGAGCGCTCAGAGCAGCGGAGGGCTCCTCCCTCTTCTGGGCGGGGCGCGCTGGGTAGGGGCCCGCCTCCCCCCCCCGCTGAGACCCACCCTCCGAGCCGCGCGAGGCGGGCAGGGGGCGTGTCCCCCGGCCCAGTGCGGCAGCGCGCACGCGCAGCAGGCGGAACGGGCTCACTCAGCGCGCGGCTGCGCACTGTGCCGCCTGCCGTCCCGGAAGCGCCTCGCCCGGCTAGCGCCACGTTTCTCCCGGCAGGTCCTCCCTGGGCCCGGCAGCCGCCGCCTCAGCCCTCGAGGGGCGCAGCGCCCGAGCGCGGCCCTCGGGACGGGACCGAGAGCATCATGGGCTGCGCGGCCCCGCGCTCCGCCTCCGCGCTGCTCCTGCTGCTGCTCCTGCTCCGGGCCGAGCAGCCCCGCGGGGCCGAGCTCACCTTCGAGCTGCCGGACAACGCCAAGCAGTGCTTCCACGAGGAGGTGGAGCAGGGCGTGAAGTTCTCCCTGGATTACCAGGTGAGGCCGGGCGCCCGGCAGCGCAGCGTTCTCCCGCCGCTCCCGGTCTCACCTGGACCCTGGCGCGCCCCTGACTGGGGGCGCTCGAGTTAGCCACAGAGGCTGCGGGGAGGCTGCAGGGCTGGGGATCCCCGGAGACCCATTGACTTCCTCTGGAGGAGGAGCGTGTGGGTCATCAGGGCCCACCCGAGACGGGCCAGGCCGGCAGGAGGTAGTCAGCGCCGCAGATGCGAGTCCCGCAGCCTGGGAAGCTGGCCGGAGAGACCTCCGCAGGCCCGAGACACTGACGAACGCCAGCTCTGATCGGAGGGACACACGCCCTCTACCCAGGTCTCTCACACCGCCTTATGCCTTCCAGAACTGAGAAATGGCAGCGAGAAGAAGTGGGTTCAGAGTTTTATTTTCCTTCTCCCCTCTCCAGCGTTTAAAGTTGGAGTGAGGTGAGGGCAGCAGAGGCGAGAATGGGCGCTTTGGAAAGGAGGGCACCGCGCCGCCATCGAGGCCTGACGGTGTTTACAAGGAGTGGTATGCTTGCAAGACTTGGCTCTTGCCATATGGCTTAGAGTCGCAGTTCCTGCACTCCCGTCTCCTCTGAGAGATCCCGTGGCCCACAGGTCACAGGAGCACTTCTTGAGTGAGGGGTCTGCCCCGAGGTTTAGTGAACAGGCCTAGGGTTGGGGGCCAAGTGGACATCGTACTCACACAGCTGTCTGCTTGTGGACACATGCTGAGAGGGACTTCAGAAGTGAGGTGGCGTGGGCAGCGGGAACGAGGGCAAGCTATTTGACCAGTGCCTTTGTGGTTAGAGGTGCTGAAGGAAGCTGGTGCTTGGAGACAGCTTACATGTAGCCTCAGTCACCGATTTGTCCACTTTCACGTCGTGTGGACAACAGGCAAATTGTGACTGGGTTAATGTGGGCAACCTAGGTGCAGTGACAAAAGGAATGATCATTGTGTGGCTGCGGGGACCTCAGAGGTCATCTGGTCACTGCCAGGGTGAAATCCCATGTCAAAGTGTGTCCAGCCTGGGTTTAAACACACCCAGCAGCGGGGTGCTCACTGCTTTATGCAAAGCTTGCTGAGCAGGACCAGTAACTTTTGTCTGGACAAAGAAGACATTTAAGTTTGGAAGCAGATGGAGCCCATTGACCGTGTCCTTTGATGGATCTTGGTTATAACCATTCCCTACCTGTCAGATTTTGCTGCATGTTGGTGTTATTTTTTCTTATGTTAGAAGGAGAGTTTGAACTAATTGATTCCCTGGGACTCTTCTACCTCTGACACTTAGAAAGTCCATCAATATTTTTATTCTCCTTTTTATTCTTCTTTATTTAATTAGTAATAATACATTGTAAATAGCTACTAGACCCATTCAGCAAGCCAAGAATAAACCTTGCTGGGGGTAGGGGTGTGCACTTATCTGTTATTGGAAGGGAGAAGCAGGAGGTACAGCATGCATGCTCTAGAGTGGCCCCAAATCAAATTCCACATCTCCACTGTCACCCCCAGGGGGCTGGTTTGCAGTCTGGCAGTTGTCCAGTAATCGGCTGGCAGTTTTGGGACACTTGCTCCATGGTGGACATTGTGCACTTAGGTGTGATAGCTTATTGAATCCTCATTTCATGGATGAAGACATGTCCTCAGAGAGTAAAGTAACTTGTCATAGCTACTGAGTGGCAGTGCCCTAAAGCAGTGATTTGCTGCATATCTTGTGTTAAGTATTAAACAAAGATAAAGAATCAATGGTATCTGGTTGCATTGGAATAGTTTCTTGGGCATCTCTCCTCATCTTGCTCTGGATTTCTGGAAGCCTTATCAGCACCATCTCATGAAAAGCAGTTATCCTAGGGTATGTTCGTTCATGCATCAGAATAGTGCAATAGGTAAGTGAGCACTGGAACCAAAAGCCCCCAGGACAAACCCCAGCTCTACCACTGTCCCTTGTGTAACCTTAGGCAATTTGCTTAACCTTGAAGCTTGGTTTCTTCTGTAAAATGGAAAGGATTAGGCTCATTGAACTCCTGCAGAGCAAACTTTGGAGTCAGGCCGGCATAGATTCTGATCTTAGCCGTTGCACTTTCAAGCGGTGTGACCACAGCCAATTTATTTAACCTTGCTCAGCCTCAGTAAAATGGGAAGTGGCATAGCCTCTGCCTTGGAAACATTTGAAGATTAAATGACAGAAATGTTTAGTCCGATCACAGGGTCTGGTTGGCATTTGGTAGGTGGTGGTTGCCCCTTTGATAACAGCAAGCTTTTTATGGTTGTCAGGTCATCACTGGAGGCCACTACGACGTTGACTGCTATGTGGAGGACCCCCAGGGGAACACCATCTACAGAGAAACCAAGAAACAGTACGACAGCTTCACGCACCGGGCTGAGGTCAAGGGTGTTTATCAGTTTTGCTTCAGTAATGAGTTTTCCACCTTCTCTCACAAGACCGTCTACTTTGACTTTCAAGTAGGCGATGAGCCCCCCATTCTCCCAGACATGGGGAACAGGGTCACCGCTCTCACCCAGGTGAGTGAACATGAGCAGTGAGGGGCTGCTAAACCCCTCGTGCGTTCCTTCCTCGCTGGCCTCTGTCTAGGCTGGTGGTCAGAGTCCTCATCAGGGTTCGTTTTGCCTCTTTTCTTCACACTTAGTTCTAAAGGACGCTGCGCTCTTCTTTGGATCTTCCTTCCCATTCTCTAACCAGATCTCTGCGGTACTGTCCTCAGATATTCCTGTCTCTGCTCTTTCATTCCCACTACGTCTTTCACACAGTACCACTTTTGAAGTACCTGCATCATGTGTCTCCGCTTATACTACCTGTATCATGAAGACCAAAGTCTTACTTTGCATGGTGTATTAGTTAAGGTAACACAAGGTGCTGTAACAAAATAAACACGAAACATCAATGGCCTAACACAACATGCATAATAATCTAGGAAAGGTTGGTGGGGCGCTTTCCTCCATGGTGTGACTCAGGGATCCAAGCTCGTTCTTTCTTGTCAGAAAATGGCACAGCACCTGCCTTAGAAAGTTTTCTGTCTTCCCCTGGGGCTTCAGGGTCCTCTGCCTGTCGCTGCCCAAGGAGGAAAGAATGAGAAATGCCCATCTGCATCTTAAAAGCCCAGGCGCAGTGGGAATATGTATCACCTGCTCACGTCCCATGGGTGAGAACTTAGTCATGTGGCAAACCTGGATGACAGGAAGCCTGGCAGGTAGAGCCTTAGCAACAACTCCGCCCTATGGAAGACAAACCGTACCATTTTTGGGGGAGAGTCCTGTCTGCCGCTCATGCCTGTCAAGGTTAATTATTCTCTGATCTCAGCCTCCTTCATCTGTCTTCCCTCCTGCTATTTCAGCTCCTCCTTCCCTTTCATGTGCAAGCTGGGGCTTCCTGGGGGCTAGGACTCTGAATGATTTACTTTTGTATCTTCAGTGCTCCGTGCATTAGGTGTGGCGCAGGAAGGAGCTCACCAAACGCTTGTCACATGTCTCAGGGCCCAGGGAAACCTGTAAGACAGGCGTAACCATCCGTCGCTGCACATGTACCAGAACCAAAGCCAGAGCGTCTCGTAATTTCAAGGAGGCCAGATGACTTTCTGGGCTGCCCTCCAAGGTGGCTCCCTTCCTCTGTGGCTCTGGGCACACTCATGAATGCCTGTGGATTCATTTGCCCAGTCTTCCATCTTCCCCCAGTAGTTGGAGTCTACAGCTACACTGTTCATCATAGTAGCCACTCTCTAAATTTGGCTATTTAAATTAATTAAAATTAAATGAAAATGCACTCCCTCATCTGCACCACAGCCTTACTTCAGTTTCTCAGTAGTCACGGGTAACTAGTGGCCATGCATAGAAAGTTCCATTGTCTAAAACTGGGTTTGAGCTTTGCACTTGGTACATGACTGCTGTTAGAATGTCCAGCCGAGGGTGTGTTGTGTGTTAAGATCTTTTGCAACCGATACTCTTGAGAGTTCTGTTGGCCACTGATGAAACAGCCTCTATTCAGAAGATTTTGTAAGTCTTCAAAAGCTCAACTGAAGGACTTCCCCCCTTAACCAGTAGAAAACAAATGGATAGGAAAAGCCTTAATGAATTAGGTGACTAGACATTCATTCCTGGAGCCTGAACAGTAGTTTGATTTTGGTGCAGGAAAGGGTGATTTATACTTCCCTTTTCTTATATGTTAGAACCTCTTCTTTGCTCCTGCTCAGCCTCAGAAGAGCCATTTCCTTCCCCTTCTCTCACCCTGCTGCCTTGAACCATCTGTGCCTACTTGCTTTTTTGCCAGCATTCACCCAGTCTACACACTGTGCCTCGTGCTGGGCGCCCTGCAGGGAGCACAGCCCTATGAGATAGTTGGCTGTGGGGCACTGTGGTCAGAGCTGTAACTGGGGGCCAGGGGTTTTGAGGAGGCACTGATGAGTTCTTCCAGGAGTCAGGAAGGCTTCACTGGGAGAGCTTTACCTTAACTTGAAAATGTAAGAGTTTGGCCTCCTATGTGAAGAGGGCAGGTGAAATGTATGGAGTGGAACTTTCATTCTTCTTGCCAGCCCTTTTTATCTTGCTTGGTGTGGGTTTTTTTTTTTTTTTTTTTTTTTTT